TTGACGACTGAAGCAGCCGAAGCTTGTACGATCGTCGCAACTGTCGTACACTCAATGGGTGGTGCAGGTGCTGTGGTTATACGACGCCAGGCTACAAGACGCGCCTAAATTCGTACTGATGCTGCGGCGCTCTCCACTGCAGCCGTTGGTGGCTGCGGCGGCCGCAGCGGCGGCCGAGGCGGCGGTGGCGCTGCGGCCAGACATTGCGGCGAGGTACGGCTGAATACGGCGTGTTGCGATGGCGGGGTCGGTGGCGGCGGCATTGCCGTCAGTGGTTGGCGACGGCGGCGAGAACAAATCGTGTGCCAGGCTATGAGGTACGACAGCCCCGACGTCGGTGACGTCGCTGCCGCCACCGCTAGGGCCGTCAGGTCTCGCCGCAGCCGCCGCCGCCGCCGCCGCTGCCGCTGCCGCTCGGGCAGGGCTCCTTGGCGAGCACAGGATTGGCGCCGAACTGCGCCCAAAGACCATCGCCATCGGCGCGGCAGCGGCTGCGTCGTCGCCGCCGGCTAGCGCAGGTGCCGGCTGGCCCACGCCACGTCCGCCACACGACAGCTGCCTGCCGGCGGTGGCGGCAGCACCGCCGCCGACAGTGCAAGTCGATGACAAGGAGGAAGTGCGCACCAGGGAGGGACAGCCGCCGCCGCCGCCGCCGCCGCCGCCAAAAGCCGATGTACGGCGCTTGTCTGACGTCATCACCTCCAGCACGTGTCTCGGAAAGACTTCTTCAAGGATGCGGTGCTGTACGGCGGGTGGTGGCGACCCCAGCAGCAGTTGCTAACGTACGGCGGCGGTGCACCTCGGTATGCGCGAGCTCCTCTCCCGCCGTCGCTAGACTGGTCGTAGCACCGCTCGACGCAGAGAATCCTCGGAGGCCGCCGCCGCCATTACCGCATGAAGCTGGCATGCTCGTCACGCTGGCGCTTAGGACTCACCGCGCCGCGGTCGTTGGCGGCGCCGCTGCCGCTGCCGTACTAGCTACCAGGGGCGACACAAACTTGGGACCCGACAACTGATCCGCGAGGGACGCATCCAAGCCGCGGGGGCTGCAGCACTGATGGCCGTCAGCGCTGCCGTACGACCACCCGCCGCCGCCGCCAGCGAAAGCAGTAGTAGGCCCCAGGCCTAGAAGGCCCTGAGACGCCGCTGACGCCGCAATCCGCGCGGCACGGTAGCTACCGTCCAGGGCGTACTCCGTCTGCGCCAGGCTGTTTGATCTGTGAATGCGTGTACGGCGGGAGTTGGCCCAGTACGACAGCTGAGCTGAAGAAGGGCTGTGGATCAGGCCCAAAGGACCAAACAGTCCTGCACTGCCGCCGCCGCCGCCGCCAGCTGCGCCGCTACCGACGGACGCCGAAGTGGATAGCTGCCTTGACGGCATCGTCAACGGAGAGCTGCCGTACAGCGACGTTCCAGCTTGGGCTGGGAATGTCTGGTCGGCGTTCCAGCTGGCACGTTGCGCCAGAAGCGTCGCCACGCTGACGGCGGCGGCGCTTCCGCTGCCGCAAACGCTGCCGCCGCAGCTTGCCTCCGCCTCCAGTACCGACGGCAGAGGACGGCTTGAGCTCGCAACGCTGCGAAAGGTGGGTGCCGAGACGTTGCGCGGCAGCTTCATAACGGGTTTGCCGCGGCTGCCGCTGTTGTTGCAGCCGCCACCGCTACTGCCGCCGGCTGTGGCTGCAGTAGCTCGCGGCGGCGGCGGCCCTGTAATAGTGGCCACCACGTCAGGAGAGAGTGAACCGGCGGCGCTGGCGTTGCACTCAGCCGGCGGCGCCTGTGGCGATGGCAGGCTGGCGGACGGCAGATGCGATACCCAGCCGAATCCCCAGGAGCCCCCGCCGCCGCCGCCACCGCTGTCGCCGCTGCCACAGCCAGCGGCGGCCGCGGTAACGACAGCTGTGCTCCTCTCCCCCACCCCTCGTCCAGAGCCGACAGGTACAGCAACCGCCGCCGCCGAGGCGCACGTAGCTGTAGCCGCCGTCGCGCCGCCACCGACCCGCGAGCCCGTGCCGCTCCCGTGCCGCTGCAGCTGCTGTGGCAGCAAGCCCACGACGTCCGTATCGGCAGCGGCGCCGCCACCGACTCCACCGCTGCCACCGCCGCCGTACAAAAGCCCCTGGCTCCATGGCATGCTTTCGGGGACGACGGCAGCGGTGGCGTCGGCGGCCGCACTGAGGGCGCGTTGGCCGGCGCATGGTGACGTGGACGTGGCGGTGATGCTGGCGGCGTCCCGCAGGCCCCGGAGATCTAGGTGTGACGGCATGCAAACGAGACCGCTCCACGTCTTGCCGGCTCGTACGGCATCCCACAAACTGTCCAGCGCTGGCGGGTCGTACGCAAAGATCCGATGTAGCACGTGATCTGGATCCATCAGACCCAAACCAGGCGCTGCTGGCAGCCCGACGGCATTTCCCAAATAGGCAACAGACCTGAGGACGTGGAAGCGGAGGCGGCGCGGGTTTGACATGAACGTCGTTTGTGAAACACGCACACGCACACGAACGTCGTACGCACACACGCCACCCATTCGCACGGTATTTCCCCGAACGTTTTCTACGACGGTCATCCCGCCCAGCACAACACTTCATGTCGCTCTCCAATCACGAGCTTTCCTTGTAAACTTGATGCTTCTCCACCAGCTGGTCAAAAGTGGTGAAAAGGTCGTTGAGGTAACCAATACTACTTTTCAGCTATGCCCAGCTGGATGTCGTCAGGGATATCGTCGTTAACTGCCATGGCGTAGCAGCCTGGGCCTATGCAGTGGCGGTTGAGAGGGATGAAGAGTTGGCGGCATCGCTATAGGAGCAAACAGGACCAAACAAGACGTTCTCCCCACGCACTCTGCACAACGAACAGCGCGACTGGCCGCAGCTATGCGTGTGCTGGGACGTCAGCGACCCGTTCCATTTCTGGGCTCCGGGCCCGCTTCTACGTAGATGCTACTCCTAGTACCGTATTAAGCGTATAGGATGCACCACAACTCAGGCTGCCCGGAGAAAAATACACGGAGAACGGAGCTGCGCAGCGACGCTGCCGGTATCGTTGCTGTAAGGTTGGGCTGATTACAGTTTCAAATTTAAACATATACCGTAGAGGCAAGGAGGTGCATAAATGAAGAATACCGTCACGAATTTAGCTATTGGAAGAGGTCCGAGGCGATTGTTGCAGTTGGGGGTTGACTGTCGTACCAGAAAACCTGCCGAGGTTGTCCCTCAGCCCGGGGAGTACATTGGATTTCCGGGTGCGTATTGTGCAGCACGTAGAAATTACTTTAATTGGTGGGTGGCGGATGCTTTTGGGGCTTCTCCCCGCGTCGAAAAGGCATGATCAAATTGCAATAGCCGATAGGTTCAGGTTCGCAGGGAGTCGGGGTTACGTTCTGCGCTTCCTAAGCCCAGGCTTACATGTGTTTGAATTGATGCCTGTTGGGCTGATGCGTGTAACACATGCAACTAAAACCGAAGCCAGGACTCAGAACCATGCCAAAACTCAAATGCCCGAAATTAGCTTCATATCAACAGTTAGATATTTTCATTCTAGACACGTATATTATTGCTTTATACGGCTCGGAGCTGGATAGCTCAGGCTTTTGTGGGTTTGACTGTAATGCACCTAGGTCGTCCAGGCGCCTTCGACGGTTGAAGTTGGAGTTGTCCGTCTCTTGTCTTCCCAGAATGCATGAGCTATGAAATGTTTTGATTGCATTAAGGATCAGGCAATTGGATAGCAGCACCAGGAAGACTACATCGCAAAGTTTGTCCTCACAATTGCTTCTGTTTGCCCGCTTACAGGCAGAAACTGGAAGATCTGCGTGATGAATGCTGTGAGCAGGACGACAATTACATCTACCTTTCAGCGTGCGATGTTCCGTGTCTCGTCCGTGTCTCGTCCCATGTTAGGGCTCGGTGACATGGAGCGACGGGGAGATGACATGCTGGGCCTAGGCGTTCAAAGCAAACAGGTTAAGCAGGAACTGATGATTTCGACAACCTTTAGTGTGGGCTTTGATGGGGTACGTAGGCGTTGCGTCCAGTGCCGTTGCGTGCTGTACTGCACTTCACAGTGCAGTTCGTCGTACCCTGTGCAGCGCCTGGTGTATTGTCCGGTGCCATGTTGGATGTTTCCTTGCTATCGTGTTCGGCTGGCGGCTGGCAGCAGAAGCGGCAGCAGCAGCAGCGACAGTGATCGTTACAAGGCAAAGCAAACACCTGTAGGAATGCGTGAGCTATTATGGATAAGATTTTATGCATGTCTTTTCGCTCGTGAACCCAAACAAGACGGCCTCATGAACCACCTCATCGTACCTTGCTGATTATTCCTTCCCCTCCGCCCATCCTCCTGCCCCGTCCTCCCGCCTGCCTCTGGTGCGTCCTTATGGCTGCGCGGCGGCCGTATATCAACACCAATGCCGAGGGCGCAACGATTGGGCGCTACACGAGCTGCAGTCCTTGCATGAGCCCCTGGATTTCAAGATACCTCGCGCTTTGCGGTTGGTCGTACTGTTTAGGGTTTTCAGTTCCGCATTTTGTTGGGAGCGTGCAATCATGTCTGCCTGGCGGTCTGCTGCGACAGCAGCAGTAGCAGCAAAGCAGTAGCAAAGCAAACGATATCATCCCCTCCCGCCCCGCCCCACCTGTTCCCCGAACCGCGTACCCTCCTTTTGACCGGCGGCGCTTGGCGGAATCTACGGTGCAAGCACCCTCCAGATGATACATGCGGTAAGTCGGCGATATGGATCCGTGCCGTATCGTGGCGTGTACTACATGTTTTGTATCGCCGTGCCGATTGTGTTTTCCTGCGCCGCGTATCGCGTGATTATGCAGTCGTACTTGGCTGGCGGTTGGTGGCAGCAGCAGCAACAGCAGGAGCAACAGTAGCAGAGCGCAGCGGAGCAGACCCCTTAAGGAAAGGTGTCCAGCCCTAAAACAAAGTCCGGATTAGCGTTGCTAGCCACCATCCAAGCATGATTGCTGTGTATCTCAGTATGTGCCTGTGTTTAATGACCTCGTTGTGGGAAACGCTGCCCGTCGCGGTAATGGACGCCGCGCTATCGCTCCACAACGACGCCTTCTGCCTGGCGCAACTGCTGCCACGGTACCGCGGATATGTGTAATGTAATGTAATGTTACAGAGTGGGAAGCTTCTGGGCCGCTTTATCACATTGTCAGTTCTAGATCATTTACCGCGGATATGAATGCCACACGGTACGGTGCGGTTCCTTACAGTAACGTACGGTGCGGTACGGGTGCAAGGGTTTTAAATAAAACCTGCAGTATCACGTCGTAAAACACAGGATTCCGGAAGTGGTCTCCCTGGTAGTAGTAGGCCTGATGTGGTCTCTCTCGCTTCCCTGCGCGGGACGGTGCACTGTCTGTCACCAGGAAGCAGTTTTTCCGCAGGAGGGCGGGTGGTGCATAGGAGGCGAGATAGAGAAGGATAGGAGCGGTTGAAAGCGCCAAGGCCTCGCCGGTGTCCGTATTTAGTAGTCCCTTAGGTGGAGCTGCCAAGAGCGCACCACTCGCCAGCCCCACCTCCGCGTCCGTTGTTCGTGTCGCTATTTGCGCGAAGCGGGACTTTGCAATGCAGGGCCCGACCACCGCATGCTCGCCTGATGCTCGTACGGTGGGTTTCTACCCGCTCAGGTTATGGGCTCGCGGACGGGTAAAGGAGGTAAGTGCGCTGTTTCTAGGAAATGGGACGTTCTCTGACGCGCTTGTGTTTTCCCTTTATCGTTCTTCCCTAGGTGGCAGAGGCGCCTGGCTCCGCTGTCTTCTTCCCGATGCTCGTGTTGGTGCTGCTGTGGCGGCGGCGGCACCCCGTCCTGGTGCTGAGGGGGGCTGAGCACTTCACTATTACGAGTGTCAGTATGTGCGTTGATTTGAGTTGAGGGATGTTTCCAGCAGATTACCAATCTGTTTCGGCTGTACGGGCGATTAACTGGTCGGTTGCTATCGGTTGTGGTGTCGTGACTCTTCCGTGTGCCGTAGTTTGTGGAGCATCATCCTATTGTGTTTTTCATGTCGCGGTACGGTACGAGGATTAGTGATAACTGCACAGTGGGCTTTGGCCGGAGGCTGGCGGCACAGCAACAGCAGCAGCAGCACTGTGTCGTACCGTCGAGGTATATTGCGCGCTTGATTTGCTATGAGCCGGTAATAGACACATCACACGCTGACGTGTCCACACACACACGCGCCCTCCCCACTTGTTTCTCACTGTATGTCCGCATGGACCTGCGGCTGCAATCAACATGATGGTCCTGCTGCTGCTGCTGCTGCTGCTACTGCCAGAGTTGAGATCCTTCAAGAGCTGCGATTACTGGCGGGTGCCTGAGGCAAATTTCTTGCGAATCTGTGTATGGCAAGGAGCAGAGGTGCGGTTGGGCCAGAGGTGAAGCCAGTGCGGCGGCGGTGGTCGTGGAACTGGTGGCGGTGGATGGCGCGATGGACATGGATAGGGTGTCTATATTTTAGATTCGACCCCACCGTGATCGAGGCTACAGCCGAGCTCGCGACTAAAGCTTCACCTTGTCAACACCTCTCTATTCTCTCGTTTTTATCCAATAGATATGTCTAGCAGAAGATAAGGAGAAACTGCAGTAGCAGCAAAGTGCGGTTGTCCGATACGCGCTGGATGAGAAGCGGCGCCAGGCCGCGTGCCGTTGGTGTGTAAGTATTTCAACAGACAGTTCGTAGCGCCCGCGTGCGCTTTGGTCGTCAAGCCCTGCACCCGCGTCGGCTCCCTTGTTGTGTGCCCGCACTTCGGTATCTTACCGTTAGATTGCCACCCTTTATCTATGACGCGGCAATTGTCATTTTAGGAGCTGATGAACTGGAAAATTCGGACTGGAAAATTCACCGGCAAAATTGAAAATAAACACAGGAAGGCAGGATCTGCCAGGTAGCGGCTGCAGGGTGAAGATATGACCCCCCTGTCCCACACATCATACATACACTCTCTTGTACTTGGATGTGTCGGACCGTCTGTCTTGCAGCCACCCTGTGGACCACTATCAGGCTACCGCAGCTCGGTCGGCATCATGAAGGCAGCTGCTGATTACATATTGTTGTCACTTGGTGTTGGGATGACAGCACAGTGATGGAGCTGATCATGAACTTGTTGGAGCAAGGGATGGATGGCAACAAGTGATAGGGAACGGAAATGTGGCGGGAAGGGGCTAACAGGCGAGGGTGAACGGGAGGGATATAGGGTGGTAGGGAGCTGGGCGGTGCACGATCTCGCTGCTCACAGCAGTGCTGGGTGACAATGATGGTGCATCGATGGATGACCTCGAAAGAAGAAGCTACGGATGGCTTAGCCCTGTCAAAGGAAAGCCCCCCATGATAGTTCCATGGCGCCCTTGTTCGGGCCGCAGTTCCTTTTGTGAGCAAACGTGGCTTAAAGCACCTTAGATACTCAAGAAGAACTTCAAGAACCATAACGCTGTATCAATAGCTCTTGGCACTTCCGCCATGGGCAGATTACGTCAATCGCCCGCTGTGCGACATAAGCAAAAATGAAGCAACGGCCTTCATGATAACTTGACCTGTTGTTTGCAAGGGCTTGCACTTAGGGATCTTGCTTCCGGGGACGTAACCAGGTGCAGCGGAACGGAGGTGAACGTGATAATGCAGTGACATACAGCTATAATATATAAAACTTTAGTAGGCTAACTGTAGACAACGTGAGTTCGCTGAGCTGCACCTTACCAACACGCACACCTGAATTTGCAGCTGTTGCGCCGTACAGCCTAGCTGGCCTCTGACAAAAGGCACCTCCCACAGCACTTCCAGCTCCTTTAGCAAATGTGAACAACGTCCGATATATGATTGCTTGATTTCACCCAACGCATGAGCCCCTCATTTTTGGCCTGTTCCACCTCTGTTGCGTCCGTAAAAGCTGCTAGTTTCCTACATATGACCAGCGAATGAGGAAGCCTGAACAGCTGCGCGGCGCCCTGAGAAGCTGCTGTGGACCCTGCAAACGTTTGCAAGGTACTGTTCGTTGCAAAACCTTCATGCTGTAGCCGCCGCACTTCAGTTCCATTGCTCTAATTTATTACGCGGTTAGCTCAAGCATATATTTATTGAACCCCTGCTGACGTTGCTTCAGGCACAGCGTCGCCGCTTCACGGACATCGATTTGCCTGACTCATCTGCTGAGGGCAAGGTGCGACTTGCGGCAACTCATTTTTTTGAGGTGAGATGCTTGCTTCTGAGCTTATGTATGGATCTTTGAAACATAAGGGGCTTTGTCGACGGGCTTTCGACGGGCATGTGTTTGTGCAGCGCTCTGCTGCAAGAATATGGGCGTATGCGGCGTTTGAGCGTAATCCCGACAGTTGTGCTTTAGCTGTGTAAGGAGCCTACGAAGGCTGAAAGCTAGGCGGTCTGGCAGGAAAGTACACGTCGTTAGGCGAGACCACTTCGTCCGATATCCGTGACCTTCCTCGCGACAGAGACGACTGCTCATTGGAGCTGCCCAAGACCTTCCAGATCGACCGCATTCTACCTGGCAACGAGAATCTCTGCGTACACCACATTTCAACTCTCCAAGACCCCAGTGCGATGTTGCGTCGGCGTGAAGCAAGGGCCCCCATTGTCAACGCTTCTAATCAACGCAGTCAAGCTCACATCGTCTTCCGCTGCTGGTGAGTGACGCCGGATGCACGGTCGCCCGTACATGTCGTACGTTAGTTAGAGCGCGCCTAGATTTCCGGTCGTGGGGCCGTTACGCGTCGTATCAAGGTCGGCCATCGTTCTTGGATTCTATGGGTGAAGGCGAGTTGCAAATGGATAGACGAGTTGGTGACGGAGGGGGATTTCGGTATGAAATTGTTGTACCTTGGTAAGGTGGGGCGTGTAGGGAGTACGGCATGAAGGTCTTTCCCCGTATGTTCACTGCGTGGATGCCACTTTGTGTCCGTTCGTGATGTAGTGATGTCGTACATACGTTCGGAGCAAAGTTTCTTGCTGTGGGTGTTTCGTGGCGCGGTGTTTTTCTCCTGTCGTGCCGGCAAGCAGCAACAGCGACAACGACAGCAAAAGCACAAAGGCAGCAAACTGCAAAGATAAGGTCAGCAAACTCAGATAGAAGCTGCAAAGCCGGCCGATGGTTATTGTTGCGGTCTTCAGTGGCTTGTATTTGTGCGCAATTGTATGTATGTATGTTTGTATGTTTATTTGTATGTATGTATGTAGGTAGGTAGGTATCTGTTCAAATGTGGGCGAGAATGTGCTCACGCGCGCGCGTGTGCGTGTGTAAGTGTATGTAGGTGTGTGCAAGAGGGTGTATGTGTGTGTGCATGCGCGCACGCGTATACGTATGTGTATGTGTGAGGGTGCTACTGTTTTTACTTGTGATGGAGAATTCCCAACTGCCCGCGATGTGCCCGTGTGCGTATTAGTACGTTTCTCCATATTGTGCACAACTACCCATGTCGTTTTGCTGTGCAAAGTCTGTGCTCATTGTGTCCCCTGCTAGCTGATTAACAGCGTGTGTGTGTGCGTGTGTGTGTGTATTTCCCCGCCCACCTCCCGCCCGTTCCCGCCACCGGTCTGAGTGAGCCTGGGCGAGGACTTCCAACAGGACAACACGTATCGGCGCGATGAGCACCACAGGCGTCGCCACCGCCGTACATCGCCGTCATGTTTGAGAATGTAAGTACGAGAGGGGCCTCGTTTCGTTTCCATGTCTTGCGTTTCGTTGGAATCTGTTGTGAATTCGGCCACTCCGAAACCGCCTTGTAGTGTGTATGTAACCACGTAACCCCCGCCCGAATCCCCGGATCCCCATCAGCCGTCACCGTCATGCCATTTTCATCACCGTCTCCGTCTCGCCGCCGTCGTCTCGCCATCGCGTCGCCTTCTCACCTTCGGCGAGGTCGCCGTCGCCCTAACGCCGACGGCGCCTCGCCTCGCCTTCTCGCCGTCGCCGTCTCGCCGCCGGCGTCTCGCCATCGCGTCGCCTTCTCACCTTCGGCGAGGTCGCCGTCGCCCTAACGCCGACGGCGCCTCGCCTCGCCTTCTCGCCTTCGCCGTCTCGCCGCCGTCGTCTCGCCATCGCGTCGCCTTCTCACCTTCGGCGAGGTCGCCGTCGCCCTAACGCCGACGGCGCCTCGCCTCGCCTTCTCGCCGTCGCCGTCTCGCCGCCGTCGTCTCGCCATCGCGTCGCCTTCTCACCTTCGGCGAGGTCGCCGTCGCCCTAACGCCGACGGCGCCTCGCCTCGCCTTCCCGCCGTCGCCGTCTCGCCGCCGGCGTCTCGCCATCGCGTCGCCTTCTCGCCGTCGCCGTCTCGTGCTGTCGTGCCTTCTCGCCTTCGGCGAGGTCGCCGTCGCCTGTCTCGCCGTCGCCGTTTCACCGTCACGGGTTGTCGTACCTTTGGTAAGTCTATGCTATTGTTGAATACATGCGTTGTCTGTGCTGTGCAGTTCCTGATTAATGGTGCCATATGTACGTCGTGTACCAATATGCAGTGCGTCACGTCTTGCTTGTTAGTTAGTTGTATAGCGTTGTTGGTTGTGGTGTTTTGCTGCTGTGCCGCGTGCTATGTATTTGTGCAGTCTTGTTTGTTTGCATCATAAAAGTCAATCATGTCATAAAAGTCAATCATGTAGTGATGTTGTACATACGTTCGGAGCAAAGTTTCTTGCTGTGGGTGTTTCGTGGCGCGGTGTTTTTCTCCTGTCGTGCCGGCAAGCAGCAACAGCGACAACGACAGCAAAAGCACAAAGGCAGCAAACTGCAAAGATAAGGTCAGCAAACTCAGATAGAAGCTGCAAAGCCGGCCGATGGTTATTGTTGCGGTGTTCAGTGGCTTGTATTTGTGCGCAATTGTATGTATGTATGTATGTATGTATGTATGTATGTTTGTATGTAGGTGTTCGAATGTGGGTGAGAATGTGCTCTCTCTCGCGCGCGTGTGTGTGTGTGTGTGTGTGTGTGTGTGTGTGTGTGTGTGTGTGTGTGTGTGTGTGTGTGTGTGTGTGCACGCGCATGTATACGTATGTGTGGGTATGTGTCGGGGTGCTACTGTTTTAATTGTGATGGAGAATTCGAAACTGCCCGCGATCCGCCTGG